TACTTATTACTGAATGTTAAGTTTTCAATAAAATATATGTTTACTTATATTTATTTTCATACAAATTTATTCACAGAGCCATTAATCATGTGTCCAATGTCTTCGTCCCCTGTGCGTTTGCAAGCCTGAACCCATCTCGCTTGCAGTCACAGACCATTACGATGTTTAAGGCGGAATCCTTTTATTGGTTGTAATTAAGAAATGCTACCGACTTTTTTGTCTGCCATTTCACTTTTGTGGTCAAATTGTATTCCTAAAATCAAAATTCATAGTCTGCACGTGGTACAAATCAAGGAGTTTTTGAAGAAAAAAAAAAACAAATTTGATTAGCTGCCTCCGGCCAAACGCTGTCGGTTTGCAACGACAGACGTAGCGATATTTAATTTGTTCACTTTAAACCAAATTTCAACATTAATGTGCTTATCTTTTGGTACAGATCGAAAAAAAATCACGCCAGCTCTTAGGCTAGCATCTCTGGTCGAAGATTAGTTATCCGTTTCACAAGTTTTGAGTTTCACCGAACTACTTGTATCACACCGTTCTACTAAAACAATAATTATTGTGATATTTTTCTGTTGTAATAATTATACAGAAATATCACACAAAAAAGTACGAAATTCTGATGCTATACAATCGTTATTAATTAGGCATATAATTAAACACAGTTACAGTAAAACCAAAAATAACTGTACCCAAAATCTAACTGGTATAATCAAATAAGACACATATTTATAAAATATTTGTAATTAGTAAGTCATCATTTCATTTGTTCGCAGCATATTTGCCTCCAGTTGTCACAATTTATTTATATTATTTATTAACAAATATGTCAGCTCCTTGACCTATATTAATAATAAGTACTCTGTCATAAAAACATGTCATTTGTTTTAACACATTTAAAAACACTTTACCGGAGGCATGCCGGCGAGTTGTATCTGTGCACCTGCACTTTCCGTATTCCTTCGTATGTATGTACCTATTTCATCGTGACGATGCGAACACGAATCATTTGCTTTAAAAATTATAAATCAATCATTTTTAAACAGAGGCTAATTATAAACATTTGATTTAAAAACTAATAAGACATACAATCAGAAAAATTAAATTGTAAAAAATATTTTCAAGAAATCTTAGGGGAACTCATTTGGCTTCCTTCTCAAGAAAAATGTAATAATAACATGAAGTCACTCTTCAACAAGCAATAGTAATCATTACATAGAAAATTCTGTGTTTAGAATTATGGTTTCTAAAATTATAATGGATCTAAAAACTAGTAAAACATACAAAAATCAAATTGTGAAAAATATCTTAAAGAAATCTTAGGGAGTGACTTCCCCGCTTCTAAAAAACTACCACTGTGTAAGAAATTATAATTATCTTATCACGCTCCATTTTAGTTTAGACAGTCTGACTGTTACCGAATGGCATTTGCCTAATTCTTTCTTCTCTAGTAATTTTCTGACCGATTGTATTATCTGGACTATCATCAAAATATGTGCATTACTGTAATTTATTTGTGTTTATAGCTCTTTTTACTATTAGACTAATTATTAGTTGTCAGAATTGTAATTACTATTTAACAGTATTCGTAAGAACTCGGAATGACAGTTTTATTATTACGATATTTACGTGCAAAGCTTAATATTCCCATTTAAACAAGCATTGCCATCGCATTCTTTTATATTATCTAAAATCGGCGCAAATACAACTCAAACATATTGAAGTTAGTCCGACTCTGGTTCGGCAAAAAATACTTTAGAACGACAACTGTGACTATCGCCCTTATTTCGACAGTATCCAAACTATAAAAATGTTGAAATACTAATAATAATATAAAACATCAGAACATGTACTTTTCCTGTTTTGTCCAATTAGTCCAAGAGCTACGTGTGGACTGCACTGATCGACTATAGTAATGATTTTTTGCTAAAAGTTTCTTATCACATTGACAAAGCCAGAGCCCATTAGTCAGAAGTCGCTCTAGAGGCGGAGAGCGTGGGCGGGCGGTTAAATGCGAGAAGTTTTGTCAATAAAAAAATAATCGAATAGTCATGAAAATTGGTACACTTATAAATTTTAAATAGATAAACATATAAAAAATATCGTCAGAAGGCTAGGTGGTGGCTTAAGTGCTCTCAGAAGCGATAAAGTAGTAAATTGTGAATTGAAAAATAAATCGCACTATATAGTTCTGACATTTTGTTTATAGTTAGTTTATAACGCAAATAGACTATCTGTAAAGTTACAGAAGTTAAAAGTGAGGCTAATAGCCAAAAAAACATTATTTATCAGCGCGCGTGCAAATTTTACCGTGGTTGCTACGCCCGGCGTTTTTGATCTTTTATTATTAATAAATGATTAAGTATAGTTCTGGCATTTTACGTAGCCAATCTTTATATTATATATGTTTGTTATAACGAAACAACAGAAGTTTACTCAGAGGTTAAGACTATGCCAGAGCTACATAAGTTTAAGTGCAATCGAATAAATTGCTATATTTTTTTTTATTTGGTAATGTTTGTTTTCACAATGGTTTTAAATTGGTTTTTCTACCGAAATACACACAGTGCACTTTACTCTGAATCGCAATCTGATGATTCGTCCTGAGTACCATCATCGCTGCTGTACTCTACATCTGACATTTTTTTTGTCATTGTAACTGCAACTGAAAACACACTTTAACATTCGCTCTTGTTGGTGACTTAAAAATTTATTAATACACGAAAAATCTAATGCACAAGCAGTCAACGCTGTTAGAGCTGTGACTGGAGCGAAAATCAGAAGCGAGTTGTCGCTTGGTTACTATTTTGAAAGCCAGGCCAGAACAACGGTCTGACTACACAGGCCGACAAAAAAAATCCTGTGCTTTTAAGACGTGAACCTACCCCTTCTTTAGTAAAATTTTCCGCTGAATCCGAAAATGATAAGAAACAATTCTGACATGTGGATTCCCGACCACATACCCTTAATCCCAAAAATTAAAAATATCCAAACTAGTCATCCAACCTCTTTAGTAAAATTTTCCACTGATTCTGAAAATGAAAAAAATAAAAATTTATGGACTCTCCCTCACACACCCTCAATTCCCCCCAAAAATTCAAACTGGCCATCTTCCTTTAGTAAAATTCGCTAAATCCGAAAATTGCAAAAAATTGTTTGGACGTGAGGGATCCCCCCCTGCTCATCCGTATCTCCCACTTGCTTCTTTCAAAAATAAAAATAAATACAAATCAGACGTGGCAACCGTTATAACTTTTATAAAATCTGTCGGTAAAACCAAAACTAAATAATATTGATGCACTAAGTTTCCTTTAACCTATCTTAAAGTTACTTAAGAGCTTGAAACATTTTGGAAAATAGTAAGCTTTTAATGAAAAATTTCAATGCTAGGATGTTAACCGTAATTTGAAAATGCTAACTGGAGGTGAGGTTAAGTGTACGAGCAAAGGGAGATTTTAGTTTTATCGACGGATTTTATAAAAGTTATAACGGTTGCCACGTTTGATTTGTATTTATTTTTATTTTTGAAAGAAGAAAGTGAGAGATACAAATAAGTAGAGGGATCCCTCACGTCCAAACAATTTTTTTGTCATTTTCGGATTCAGCGAATTTTACTAAATATAAGTAGATTGTATGACCAGTTTAGATTTTTTGCATTTTTAGGGGGAATTGAGGGTGTGGGGGGAATCCATACGTCAGAACTTTTTTTCATCAATTTCGGATTCAGCGGAAAATTTTACTAAGGATAGGTAGGGTCATGTCGCAAAAACAAACAATTTTTTTGTCGGCCCGTGCTATCGTCTTGCGCGCTGTATTTAACCTCTGACTAAACTTCTGTTGTTTCGTTATAACATAAATATATATGTAAAGAGTGGCTATGTAAAATGCCTGAACTATATTTATGCATTTTTCGACAATAAAAGAATAAAAACGCCGGGCGTAGCAACCACGGCAAAATTTGCACGCGCGGTGATAAATAATGTTTTTTTGACTATTAGCCTCACTTTTAACTTCTGTAACTTTACATATAGTCTATTTGCGTTATAAACTAACAATAAACAAAATGTCAGAACTATATATTGTGATTTATTTTTCAATTAACAATTTACTACTTTATCGCTTCTGAGAGCGTTTAAGCCACCACCTAGCCTTCTGACAATATTTTTTCTATGTTTATCCATTTAAAATCTATAAGTGTACCAATTTTCATGACCATATTCGATTATTTTTTTATTGACAAAACTTTACGCGTTTAAGCGCCCGCTCACGCTCTCCGCATCTAGAGCGACTTCTGACTGATGGGCTCTGGCTTTGTCAACGTGATAAGAAACTTTTAAACAAAAAATCACCACTACAGTCGATCAGTGCAGTCCACATGTAGCTAGCTCTTCGTCTAAATTGATTTATAAAACTAAGTACTCAATAATTCTTATTCATGTGTAAATGGTGTCCTAAAAGCATTCTGCTGGGTGTGGCTATGTTTATAATACCGTACGCTTATATCTGTATGTTCAACATAGGATAAAAAATATGTTTTTTTTTCCTTAGGTACTTAAAATGTGTTGTCAGTTGTCTCACACCCTGAAGACAACTTGTATGTAGTAGTACAGTGAAGAGATATCGTTTCTAACTTATTTAGATTTCTTAAACAATTGGACAAAGGATTCATTGAAAATTGCGCATAAAAACGCCCTCCTTAAGCATTTTTCAATGTTGAAATTAACTTGACTGTGAGTCTGCCTCAACATACCCCTTTATTTATTAATTCGTCTCAGCTTCTCTGATTCGTTCAGTTTATTGTTCTATGAAGTAATGGGAAATTCATACACTTTTTGTTTCAACCTCAAATTGATAAATGGAGGGGTCTCAGATCGGATGAGCGCGGTGGCTATGAGGTTGCCTCACTTTTTTACTACAGTGTGTATAATTTGTCACGATATGCTTGTATATTTAAATGGATAATTTGGTCTGCTAGTTAACTATATCTAATATTGTTTTAGGAAATCTTCGACAATGCGTCACGAAATAATTCAAAAAAAGTTTTATTTTTGATTACCGATGGTTATTCCAGTGGGGGAGATCCGGTACCAGTAGCAGATAAATTAAAGAATAAACATGTCACGGTTTTTACTATTGGAATTGAAAGTGGAAATTATAAAGAATTATACGAATTATCATTCTCTGGTGGAGAGTCCTACAGTTACATATTAGATAGCTTTAAGGAATTAAATTCTTTAGCTAGAAGAGCACTACATACAGGTCAGTATTATAGGAACTTTTTTTATTTAAAAATCGCACTTTTTGGACTAAGATTAATGGTTAAATAATTTCTAAGCTATATTCACGTTTGAGATTTCAGATGAAGCTCTGTTTCGTCTCCATGCTAACGCGCGACAAACCTATCGTAATTATCAGATATAAAAATTATATTGTCAGCAGTGGCCGCCCATATTAGGAGTTGTTTATGAAAGTTATGTTTTTTTCGAAGAAATATTTTGGTATTGTTCCAATGAAAATTTAGCCCTCCGTCTGATTTTGTATAAGTTGCTTATCTATTGTTCATTTCGTTCGTGCGCTCAATTACGCTCTCGTGGGCAATAGAAACTTATCGCACTTATTGCACAATATACTATTAATCTACGACGGTGTCACTATGACACATTTAGCATCCCCGTTTGGATGCCATTATGGCCTTCGTAATAACACTCACAAGGAAACTACTCTAACCCTAACCCCCGATTTCCAAGATTTTTACATAGATTATAGAACATTAGAAATTAAGACTCATGTATTTTTTTTATCGGCGGAAAAACATATTTAAGGGCTGAAATCCACCCCCAAAGTTCGCCCCCCAAAACAGTTTTTTCTAAATATCTGGGATTCTAATCAATATTTTGAAATTAAACAAAATGGAAATTGCTTATAAAAAAACACAAGTGTTTGGGGGTTGCAACCCTTACTTTTTATTTCGGGAAAACTATATTTTTCAAACATTTTTTATACATACAAAATCCATATTTGCTCAATAAAAATGGTGTGCGAAAAATATCTGTACGATTAGAATTAACATTTTAAAATAAAAAGTTTTTACTTTTTCTCTAATCATAGGAATAATTTTAATTTTTTAGACTGTATTAGCGTCAACCACCATACCTCTTAACAGTTAATAAATCGACTACGAAAACAATGTGCAGTATATTGTTGGTTGAAGACCCAAGAACAATGCTATATTACATGACATTTTCCCAAAAGTATTAATCCAACTGGCTGCTTGATGCATTTTCCATTTCTATACCCCACAAAAATCGAGTATGATCTATGTTGCTTGGCTTCATCGCTATATATCTTCGTACCCATTTCCACCATATTTATTCCTTCAATGTTTTCGTAAACGGAATAATAGGTAATATGAATGCATTGTCCTTCATCTTTAACATTTTGTAAGTGCAGATTTGTCAATTCAATACGCCTGCAAGCACCTGCAAACCCCACTATCAATGCAACTTTTATCATAAAATGTGTTCTATCATCGGCTTCCAGCAAAAATTGAGTTATGTTTTCTTTTCTTAAAATCTTAGATTTTTTTACCGAAATCCTTCCAATTTTCTATTTAGAAACGCAATTAAATGGACGTCTTTACTAATATCCGTATTTCTCTTTTGAATTTATATTAGAGGAAAAACTTCTTAAAGTAGAATGATTTCATTAAACGAATAATATGCTTATACTTTTTAGACAACTTTTTTAACTACAACAGGAAAACAAACATCATAATAATGATATGTCAGACTTTTTGTTTTCCAAGAGTAACTAAACTTTTCATACGATTATTATTATTTAACACCGGCCCTTCATTGAAATGTATTATCACCATAAATAAACATAATACATACAATTATATGGCTTAGTGTGAAATAATGACAAGCCACAAATGCAAAATTGTTGGAAATTTTAAAATGTGTAAAATCAACGTTAGCTTCGTTTTCTCGGAATTTGTCTACATTAGTTACAGCAGTATAGATGTTTATGGAATGTACTTGAATAATCATCATGAATAATAATTTTCTTATAATATTCATTATGTGGCTTGTTATACTCTTGCAAAACTTGAAAATTAAAAAAGTCATATTTCAAGAAAGGGTGGCTTGTCATTGTTTCACACTAAGACTATATATACTCAGTCTCCATCGAAGATAGGGCTAAACAGTTTTGCTTTCGAGAATACCAGGCGATTGGATTAGAGGCATGAAAACACAAAAAACCGCTTACACTTTTTCTAGTTTGTCGTTCACAGTCTGCGTCGCATATACCTTGTAAAACACTTGCAACTCTTATAGTTGGAATTCTACATACTGGAGCATAACTGACTCCAGCATTAGATACTTGGAAGCCTTTAGCAAGTAATCGTGCTTTTTTCGTACCATCTTTTATTTTAAAAATCCATCTTGTTTCTATCGCTTTTTGACCTTTAGGTAACTCTACTGTTAGGAGTCCACGTTTGTAATTCTTCATGTGAATTTAATTCTTTACTTATCGCTTGTCGCCATTCTTCAGATTTACTTGCTTCTTTATATGTTTTTGGTTCTTCTTCTTCTGATGTTGCGAGTAAACAATAAGCTGAATATATTTCATAATCATCTAACTTTTTTGGTATTTTTATATTTCTTCCTGATCTAGTTGTAGTATCAACCATTGGTATATAATTTTCATCTTCGCTCAAGCTTTGGTTACTTCCCTTTTGTTCTTCTTCTGTCATTTCTTGGTCTTTTTCCACTTCAACTGTAATTCTGCTCTCTTCTCCGGGTATACTCCTATTTTCTTTTTGGCTACTTTCTTTGTTCACTTTGTATTCCATAACACTCTCATCGAATCGTACGTCTCGGCTTCTGATAACTCGTCCTTCATTTGACAGCCATAGTCTATAGCTTCCACCACAATATCCTATCATAACTGTTTTTATCGCTTTTGGATCAATCTTATTACCCTTTGGTACTAAAGTATACCATGCACGACAACCAAATACTTCAGTTTACTGAGATCATTTCTTTTATTCCATAATTTTGATGGAGTTTGTCCTCTGGGTAATGCCGATGTAGGTATTCTATTTAATTCGTATGTAGAACATTTAAGAGCTTCACCCCACAATTCTTTTGGAATGCCAGAATCTATAATTTTTGTTCTTAACATGTTTAATTATGTTCGGTTCATTCTCTCCGATTTGCCATTAGATTGGGGACTATAAGGCATTGTATACTCTAATTTTATATCTTTCCGTTTACAGAAATCTTTAAAGTTATTCGATATAAATTCTCCACCGTTATCTAGTCTAAATCTTTTCACTTTTGTATCATAGTATCTCTCTAATTCTTGAACATATTCTATCAAGTTATTTTCCGCTTCACCTTTGGCTCTTAAGGTCTTGACAACTACAAAATGTGCGTAGTCATCTAAAATTATTTGGAAGTATTTACCTCCATCAAATGTGTTAGGTGTTATCGGCCCACACATATCACTATGTATCAGTTCACCAATACCGTGTGAAATTCTTTCATTGCTTGCGAACGGAGATCGTGTGGCCTTTCCTTCTACACAAGTTGAGCATATTTTCTCAGACGATTTAATTCCAAGCTGTAGTAAAGCGTCTTTTCCAGCATGACCTAGCCTTCTATGCCAAATATCTTCATTTACTGCAACACTGCAATTCTCGTTTTGACTTGTTATACTGTCGACGTTTAATAAATACAATCCATTATATTTTTCACAAATTAAGACAAAATTTTTACCACTAATTGTAGTTTTATCTTTCTCAACTGTCATCTTATGGCCTTTAGCCGTCATTTTTTATGCAGAAAGAAGATTATGTCTTATATTTGGAACAATTAAAGCTTTAATATTTATATTTTGTCCCTGACATTTAACTTTTAATGTACCTGATTTGTTTGGCTTCAAGGTTTCACCGTTTGCGATGTTAATTGACACGTAGTTAGGTAGTGTTTTGATATCATACATATCTTTCTCTAGATACTCTTGTACAAAGTGATTACTTGCTCCAGAGTCTAAAACGAACCTAATTTTTCCTTCCATTTCATTACATATGTTTCCTGAATATAACACTATTGGTTCTTCAACTGTGTGAGCTTCATGTTTCGTATTTATTATATTTTCATCATTTTGATTTACGTAACTTCTGTTCCTTATATAATGATGACTTCTACCTCTAAAATGTCCTCTTTTTCCTCTGTATGTGCCTCTATTAGTGTCTTGATCTTTCTGGGAACGTTCTGGGCACTGTGCCCGAAAATGATATTGACTGCCACATGTATAGCACCTCTTTGTCGTTGCCTTGAACCTTACTTCATTACTTCCTTCATTCTTACTCTCTTCACGTGACTTGAAATTAATTTCTTCATCTAACAGCCTAGCTTTCACAAAATCCAATTTGACATCTGATACTGACTCTAATGGCTGATTTACATTTTGTGAAGTTAGTTAACATGTTTTTATGGTGTTAAGTGTTAAGTGTAAACAAAATGTTCACACAGTGGTAAGTGCTTCTTACAAGTTCAAAGTGTCTACTTACCTTCTTTATGGTGTAAATAACTATTAATAAAGAACAATTAAGGAGAGAACGCATTATGCAGTCGCAGTCCCGTCCCACCGCGGTCCGTTCCGGGCTGAGCTGACCGCCACCGCCATTATTCCATGGCTAGAAATTGGCCTCAATGATTTGGGATCTAGGGGGATTATCCCTCTTTATCCTGCCTCATCTCGTGTAGGCCTGGACAGCCTTCGTAGGTGGGCCCCATCCGTCGTCTACCCCGACCGCAAATGCGGCCGGTGTAGGCGCTTTGTGGGACCTCCTTTTGTCCTGGCTGGGCCCCGCCGGCTAGGGCCCTTTCTTCTGGCGCTCTTCTTGCTTCGCCGGCTCGTCTGTGTAAACCCCGGGGGTAGTGTCATGTTTATGTGTGGTATGGTTGGGTAGGGTAGTGCGGCTATGCAGCCTGGGATGCGCTTTGCTAAGGTGGCCCTTAGGCTAGCGCGGGAGGGGAGGGTTAAGGAGGGTATGGGGGGTGTGTGTGTGTGTGTGTGTGTGTGTCGTTGTCTTCGTTTCTTGATCCTGGCTGTCTCTGAAACAGAAAAGGTTAGCGGGCAGGGGGGGGGTCATTGGGGTGGTCACCCAGGGTCAAAAAGTTGGTGTCTAGGTCTTTTGTGTTTGTCGGTCACGTCGGGTACGTAGTCAACGGCTTGCCTGAGGAGGG